GTGTGTTTGTTATTGTCTTGGTTTACACAAATGGCTGAACAGTTCAAGACATCGCGTTCACTGGTTAACCAGTAAATCCGATAGTAATACACTAGGGAAGGTTCAAAGCCAAAAGCTACCTATCATGATGCAGTAACTTTCCAACTATACTCTCTTAAGTGTCTGCATGATCATCTTTTGCATTTTTTGCAAATTTCCATTCATGTGGGGGATTGTTGGAAACAGGGGCATTAAAAACATAAACTTTGGATGAGATTACGAATAGATTCCGCTAAAATTTTTTTGCGGATCTCTAGACGAGCGCGTTTCTCTTCGCAAGGAGACGAACGTGGTATATTTATTTTCTCAAATCCATTTCCGGGTGAATGAAAAATTAGCTCCAAAGTGTGGTGTTTTGATAAGCCTAAATGGGTATGCAAAATGTGGGAAGTGTTTGTCCTACATGGAAAAAATGTTGAAACCAATTGAAATTTAAATAAGCCAAATTTGGGCTTGGGCTTAGGCTTGGGCTTGGGCCTAATTGTAAAGTCCAATTATTCTTTTTACAAAATGAAATCTTGGATTGAGCCTTTAATTTTGGGCTAGACTTATTTAAATGAGTGCTTGGTTTTTGAATTTAAATTAAAAGTTAGTTTTTTTCCAAAGGGTTGCATCTATTTCTAAAGGGTTGCATCTGTTTTTCAAATAGTTTCATCTGTTTCTAAAGAGTTGCAACTCAAAACGAACAAACATAACTATTCATGTGAACCATTACAACCTATTGGAATTGATGTGTCTATTGGTGAACAGACACCATGTGAACCATTGCAACTAATTGGAGTGGATGTGTCCAGTGTGAAGAGACACATATCTATATGGTTGTGTCCAATGATGAAGAGACACACCTACCCGAAAAGACATTTTGTTGCCTATAAATACTCCCATTTGGATCATTTGCAAATTGTTCATTTTCATTTTCCTCCATCTCCCTTTCTAAATTTAAACCCAACTCAAGTGGGTTCAAACCATAGGTTAAGTGGTCTGAACTACTTAGACCCTAGTCTAATTTCATTGAGCCATTTTAAGATTGGTCCGAACCATTTGGTTCGGATTGTACCCAATTCAGCATTTATATAATATAGATGCATTTTTGAGTCAGAGAGAATATTTCACGGAGAAGGTTCGCCATATCCACAAGTTTGTAGTGCTGCTACTGGTGGATGTCAACCGTTGTATCTTGGGTGATAGACGCCACTGAGTCCGTTAGCACTATAGCGGAGCGAATCTTTCTTAAAGACATAGTATCCAATACTAGACTCGGTCCAGGCTCTTTATTTATTATTATTATTTTATTACTTTATTTTGCATATTTAATTAAATATAGAGTTGCATATTTAATTAATGATTTCTTAGCATATTGTTAATTATCTCATGACATATTAGTATAAAGTTTGTTATATCTTAAAGTCACATGAAGCATATATTTACTAACACAGTCCTTATGAACAAAAAAAAAATATCACTCTTTACATCTCAAAATAGATGTCTACTTTGAAAATTGTGATTTACAATTTTGAAGGCCAAAAAAATAAAAATAAAAAAGATTTAGAATTTTGAGATGGAGAAAATATTATTTTATAAGTAATGTAGTGTAATGTAATGTCATTGACACATAATATAATATAAGATGAATTGAAGTAACATGTAGAGAATTTAAGTACGTATTTGAAAAATAGTTGAAAGTGTTATGATAAGTGAAAAATATCCTTGCTTTTGTAGAGATTATTTAGTGCAATGTGTATATATATATATATATATATATATATATATATATATATATATATATATATATATATTTTAAAAATATAGTGCAATACATAACATGCAATAAATAGATATAAGTGATGGAAGGTATTCAATGCAATAAAAATTAACATTTGAGGTGTAAGTGAAATGTTAAACCACCAATTCTAAAGTAACAGGTATCATTAGTATATAATACTAATTTCTATTTGGAATGAACAATGCCCATATGGTAAACATAAAAAATAATAAATAAAATTAAAATTAAAAATAAAAGATGTTTCATTTTTTCTTTCACAAAAATAAAAAACATTTTTAACTTTAGAAAAGTAAAAACATATTTTTGAACACGTTCTGTTTTTTGTTTTGCCTTTTAAGGATTTGATAACAGAAAATAAAACAAAAATATGTTTTTAGTTTTGTTATTCTATCTTTACCTTGACTTAGTGCGTTGGCCCCAAATGTGTTCCATGGTTTTGGACACAAAAATAAATAAATAATTTGTTCTATTCTAACGATTGATTAGACTATTCAATATTGTCATGTTTGGTAGGACACGTTAAAATAACAATCTTTATTTATTTATTATTATTATTGATAGATGCATTGAAAGGTTGAAGGCAACATTCTTTTTGAATTGTTTGCGACTTACTTGCGAGTTGATTTTTTCTATTTTATTTTTAGAGTTACAGATCAAACATACCCTTATTTGCGTTCATTTTGAGCTAAGGAGTCAAAATCAAGTGGGACAAGTATTCTTTCTTTGCCTACCAAACCTTGACTTATAGGGATAGTTTGGTGTGGTGGAATGGAATAAAAGAAAGTAGAAAGGAATGGTTTTTATTCCATTCTCGTGTTTAGTATCAAATTTAAAGTTGAAATCATCATTCCCCATTATTCTTGGAAAATGGACATTACATCAAAATCATTCCACTTTCAAACAAAAGGAATGACCATTCCATTCCATTTTCATTCCATTCCTACCTCCATTCTCATTCTATTCCAATTTATTCCACCACACTAAACTAACCCTATAAGTCAAGGTTTGGTAGGTAAAGATGGGACATATTAAAATACTAATGTATTCCATGGTTTTGGACACAAAAATAAATAAATAATTTGTTTTGAGGTTCCAATGACTGGTTAGACTATTCAATATTTTCATGTTTGATAGGACACATTAAAATACTAATGTTTATTTATTATTATTATTATTATTATTATTTTGAAAGTTAAAATTATTGTTTTATAAGTGATGTAAGGTATTCAATGTATAAGTGATGTAATTGAAACAGAATACTCCGTACAATACAAGATGAATTGAAGTTTCAAAATATTCAAGGGGACGTGATGTTTATCATTTTCAAAACCACACAACACGTTTATCCTATTGCGTGTGGGGTCACCAATACTTGGTTTTAGAATTTGGGAAATAAAAGATGAAATCATCGTCCGATTGAACCTAAAAGTAACATAAACCGAGAACAAGACTGAAAGTGGGAGCATAAAAACGGTAAAATTAAATTAACGATACATGTTAAGAAGAATTGTATAATTTAGTATTGAACCCCTTGACTTCTTGCCCTACCAGGACTGCAAATAATTTTGCTACTATTCTTTAACGTAGCATCTTCTTGAATCAACAAGGAAAGTCAAGGATGTAAGGTTGAAATGTTTTAAAATATCTCCCTCCCATTAAATTCTATTCTAACCGAAAGATTTAGTTGTTTTTCTGTAAAACTAAAAGTTGATTATTGAATATTTTGAAAGGCTTGACTTGACTTCTTGGCCTGCCATGACCTACTATTCTTTGAGGTAGCATTTTCTTGGATCAACAAGGAAAGTCAAGGATATAAAGTTGAAATGCTTTAAAATATCTCCCTCCCATTTTCCCAGAGTAAATTATATTCTAACTGACAGATCAGTGGTTTTTCAGTAAAACTAAAAGTTGATTGTTGAATATTTTGGAAGGTAAAATTTATGGAGTAATTGTTAACCTTTTAATTGATAATTTGCATTAGGTGTACTTGCTGAAGGAGAAATTCTGACATTGTATTTACTTCATAAAAAAAATTTACAACTGTATCACAAAGAATAAATACGATGTCATATTTCTCTACCAAAGTCATTATTTCTTTTCTTTTTTTTAGTTTAGTTACTCTCTCAATATTTTCCTTTCAAAAGTATAAATAATCATATTCTTCCTCTACTATAGTCATCACAGAGTCAATATTGAAGCCCATCAAAGTAATTCTCCTCTACAATGCATCAGACAATTGTCCATGACTAATTTCGTTTATAGGTGCCTTAAATTTTTTTTGAGTAATCATCTATAATCCCAAGCTATAACTATGTAGAAGAGATACAAACATAATCTAAAATTTTGAAGTTATAATTTCTGACCAACACATAAGAATTATTTATATATTATTCTCTCCATGGTTAATTATACAAAGCTTCAATATATAAATATATACACACACAATGTTCAATTTAAAATCTAGATCCAAGTCGTGTGATTGCAGCCGACAACTTCCAAACGGAAATCTAAGAATGATTCAAGAAAAACAAAATTAGTTCCCCAAAGGAAATCTGAATGAAAATTTCTCTCTGAAAAATAAAAACCAATTATATAACATACTTATAAAATTATAAAAATCACTTCGGATGTATATCATTTTCCATACATTTTCACTTCATATCCTTGACATTATTCCTTCTTGATTCGAGCTGCTACCTCAATTCTGAAACCGAGTATTAGTGGCCCCACACGTAATAGGTTAAATGTGTTCCTTGGTTTTGGACATAAAAATAAATTAATAGTGGGTAAAGTGAAGTCTCTTCTATATTAAAAATGTGACAAAAAAAATATCAATACTATTTAGTACTGTATATAAACTCTTATCATATAAAAATTTGTTGTAAATTTGTCCTTCAATGTTGACCAACCTTTTTATATTATTTACTTATTTCACATTCTACGTATAAGTGTTTTTTATTTTTTACTTTATCCATTAATAAATAATTGTTTAATTTTTTCTGTTTTTGTAGACAGTGTTTGGACCGAGGGTCCGGCACACTGTCTAATGCGCGAGACTTTTATTATGTTAATTGTTTTCAATTAAAAGATGCTTGGAAAAATAGGACATGAAACTCATTGTGTGATCTATATATAAGTCAGAGCTATGCCCTGCTCCTCTCTCACGCACAAACCAACCTTTCTTTTATTTTATTTTCCTTTCCTTTCAACTGATCAAAACTGTTTGAGCTTTGAAAATGGCAGCTTCCTGTGTTTACGATGTCTTCTTGTCTTTCCGTGGCCTTGATACTCGCAAGACATTTACTGGCCACCTCTTGGCTGCTTTGGATCAGCATGGTTTTTACACATTCATGGGTGACACTAAACTCCCAAGAGGTGAAGAAGTTGGTCCTGAATTGTTGAAAGCAATTGAGGAATCAAGGGTTTCCGTTATTGTATTCTCAAAAAACTACGCGTCCTCAAGATGGTGCCTTGACGAGCTTGTCAAGATCATAGATTGCAAGAGGACACTCCATCAGATTGTTATTCCCGTCTTCTATGACGTCCAACCTTCTGATGTTCGATCACAGAGCGGTTGTTATGCAGAAGCGTTTGCCCGTCACGAAAACCGGTTAGACTTAAAAAGGGTGAAAAATTGGAGGTCAGCTCTCGAAAAGGCTAGCAATTTGTCCGGTTACGTCCTGCAAAATGTGGCCAACGGGTACTTAATTCTCTTTATTCTCTTCAAAAAAGCATTCTAACACATTACCTGTTTGATCAATTATTTATTTTGATTTTTACATCTTACGTAGCTGAAGCGATAAAGTGTTTTGGTTATCTTTTTTAAAAAAAAAAAAAAAAAAATCATAAACGTGTACATAATATATAAAAATGATATGGGCAACATAATACTATACAATGGGTGTAGGTGCTTTATGAGTTTGAACCTTCACTTAGTATAATAGTTTTCATTTGAAGAACCAGAATGAACTATGTCTTTAATTCGGCCCTTTGAACCAAACTTCAACATATTACACATATAGTATCGACGAGAGACTTCGGTCAAATGGGGTAGCGCTATTAATGGCCACACACTGGTATCTTGATTCTCATAAGAGTTACTAGAGAACAACCCAATTCTCATAGTCGCGGCCTCACGACGGCTCTCACTTAGGTGAAACCTCTAAGGGTATATGTGACCTATACCCTGCGAGAGTGTGCCCGCCTTAGAATCATTTAGGGCAAAGCCCTTCCTTAACGCCACATCACAACACTAATGCGATAGGGATGAACAGAAGTGAATCTCCTCAAGGAAACCTCCTAATAAAAATGTGTTGTCAATGAATCACGAATTGCAAATTATTTCTACCCATTGAACCTTTCTTCGTGTGATTAAATCGTCAATCAGAAGGTTGGGTTACCTCCGTAGGTGACTCCCTTGGAGCTTAAGCACATCCCCCTCGACATGTTTAGGACCATCTTCCCAGAAAGACCTTTGGTCAGTTGATCAGTTATATTTTTCTCAAATCTTACAAAGTTTAATGACTACTCAATAGGCTTTTCATAGATTTATATCTCACTTGTATATGTCTATTCGCCTTCTTGTTTGTATGGGATTGATTCACCAAATCAATAGTCGCCTTACAATCACAATGTATCAATATCGCAGTCATATGCTTATCTACTAAAGGTAGATCTAGCAGTAGGCATTTGATTCACCCAACCTCGCTACGAGTAGTATCTAAGGCTACGAGTTCAGATTCCATAGTACTCATCAAAATAATAGTTTGTTTCTTATAACTCCAAGATATAGGGCTCATTTAAGAAGAAATAAATAACCACTATTTGATTTTACTTCTAGATTATCAGTTATCCAATTTGCATCATTATATCCTTTCACCACATTTGGAAAACCTTTATAGCACAAGGAACAATCTATGGTAGACTTGAGATATTTAAATACTCTATCTCTCGCCATGCAATGATCCTTACTTGGATTATACATATATCTACTAAGTCTACCAACAACATAGGCAATATCAGACCTAGTTTTATTTGCCAAGTATAAAAGAAAGCCTATAGCTTGAGAATATTTTAATTGAGATATAGGTTCGCCTTCATTCTTCTTCAAGTATACGTTTGGATCATATGGTGTCAAGATTTTATAACACTAGATGTAGTTAAATCTCTTTAACACCTTCTCAATAGTACTAGATTGATTAAGGGTGATACCTCGAGAAGTTGTTTCCAATTTCATGCCTAAGATCACGGATGCCTCTGCTAAATTCTTCATTTCAAAATTCATTGAGAGGTAGGACTTTATATCACATACAATTTCTAAGTTTGTCCCAAAAATCAATATGTCACCTACATATAAACATATATAATATAACATTTTCTCCATTATTCTCCTTGTAATATACACATTTATCATTATCATTAATCTAAAATCCATAATCTAAGATTACTTTGTCAAACTTCTCATGCCATTGTTTAGAACTTGCTTAAGACCGTATAAAGGTTTAACTAATCTACACACCTTATTCTCTTGTCCTTTTACTACAAATCTCTCAGGTTGCTCCATATATATTTCTTCATCTAAGTCACCATTTAAAAATGCGATTTTAACACCCATTTGATGTACAACTAAGTTATAGATAGAAGCTAAAGCTATTAGTATTCTAATGGTTGTGATATTAGTCACAGGATAATATGTTTCAAAATAATCTATTCCTTTTTCTTGGGTGAAACCTATACTTCCATCGAACTTTTAACTTCCTTTTGAAAATTCACTTACAACCTATAGCCTTATTACCAGGAGGTAACTCGGTTAAGACCCAAGTGCTATTTTGAATTATAGATTGAAACTCGTCATTTATAGCTTCCTTCCAAAAAGGAGCATCTAAAGATAACTTCGCTTCTTTATATGTAGTTGGATCACCCTTGACTCCAAAATTCTTTTCTACTCTATGTCTCTTACTTTTAAGTTCTTGTGGTTGAGAATCTTCCACTAATGGTGTACTAGTAGAATATGCTAAATGACTAGAATTGGTTGAAGATCTATCAACTATTTGACTTGGTATTCTAGACTTATATGGAAATATATCTTCAAAGTAGGTAGCATCTCTAGATTCTATTATTGAATTTGTTGCTATATCACTAACTTCGGAGTTAAATACTAAGAATCTATTGGCACTACTACATTGAGCATATCCTATAAAGATGGCATATATGGTTTTAGGTCCTATCTTCTTTCTTTTTGGCTCAGGTAGGTAGGTGTACTTTAGCTGGACACCCCCACACTTTTAGGATTTGAAGATTAGGTACTCTACCTTTCCATAACTCATATGGAGTTCTATCATTAAGTTGGATAGTTACTCGATTAAGTATGAAGCACGCGGTGAGCATAGCTTCCCCCCACAAATTCCCGGGTACACCACCAAATAACATTGAGTTAACCATTTCCATTAGAGTTCTATTTTTCCTTTCGACAACTCCATTTGATTGAGTTGAATATGGAAGAGTTACTTCATGTATAATTCCATGTTCCTCGCAAAAGTCTCCAAGTTTATTCCAAGAATATTCTCCTCCTCAGTCGGACCTTAATCTTTTAATATTTTTCTCCAATTGATTTTTTACTTCACTATGTATAAATTTTAGAATTTTTGTATTCCTCATAACTACTTTGTGAGATTTTCTAAGTTGTTTGGCTTGTACACATATCTCACACTTATGTTTAAAATCTACATTGGACTTTGGGAGTAAATTAAGATTCATCAATTTCTTAATTTTCTTCAAACTAACATGTCCATGTCTTCCACGCCAAACATCACAAAATTCAACGCTTTAAACTTGAGGAGAAATTCCATTCACATCAAAAATAACATTCAACTTAAATAATCCCTCACTAATATAACCTTTACCCCAAAAATATTGTTCTTTGTTATTACAACTCTATTTGACTCCATTACAATTTTAAACCCTTGTTTAACTAACTAAATTTTTTCTCACTTCGGGTACATGTCGCACATCCTTTAAAGTTAGAATCTTCCCAGAGGTTATCTTTAATTCCATGTCTCCAATTCCATGAATTTGTGCTATAGAATTATTTCCTAAGGTTACACTTTCTCCATTAAATTTTTGATAAGTCTTAAAACAGTCACTACTAAAGCATACATATACATTTGTCCCCAAGTCTAACCACCAATCAATGTTATCATAGGTAAGATTAATCAAATGATTAAATCCTAAGGTAAGCTTGCAAGAGTTATCATCATCATTATATTACCTCAAATTGAGTTGGATACCAAGTCTACGTACGTGAAAGTTGTCGGGACAATTTCCAATTGAAATTAAAGTCAGTATAAAATTTTCACCAAAATATAAATCATATGCAGATTGTCTAATTAAAGCAAAAGATGCACAATATAAAATACACAATTTAAAATAAGAGCATTAACTTCTCAAGCTTAAAGCAGTTTCAATACAACAGTTTAAATGTTCAAAAACTGATTTCAATAAATTGACTTCTTTGACAAATAATAGTAAGTGTTTTCTAATAAACTGGTTTGGTTTTTAAAAATAAACTGCCTTATATATATATATGAAATAAACTTTAAAAGAACAGTTTTTTTTTTTTTTTTTTTTTTTTCCAAGTTAGAAATAGTTTCCTTCTAAATTGAAAGAAAACGTAATTGTTCCTTTTTTTTTCAATAGAAAAACACAAACTATTTTTATATAACTCAATGCTAAAATAGTTTTAAAACATCAATTTGAAAAAATAAAATAAAATAAAATAAAAATTAAGTTGTATAAAGGGTAGTTAAGGCATTATAAAATAAGGTATGGTGCAATAATGAATTTAAGGATCTTTTTGTCATTTCCTTTAAAAGAAAAAAAATAAGTGTAGTTCAATTGAAGAAAAGTGGAGTGCGAATATCGCCTCTCTAAAACTTTTTAAATTTGTTTTTAAATCTTTAAAATTCTCAACAAAATCAAGGCTCTTATACCAACTAACATAGCAGAAGCGATAAAGAATGGGGTTATCTTGAATCCATAAGATAAGGGTTATCTTGAATCCACAAAGAAAAGAAAATTCACAGAAGAATATGATATTTTATTGATAAAATTGATTTATTTTTTGCTCTTACATTACACATATATTTATAATAATGAAAAATCTTAATATTGAAAAGAAAACTAATTCCTAAAGGAAAATAAAAATGCAAGGAAACAAAACTAAAAAGATAAAGAAATTACCTAAAATTAAAATTCCTCTAAAACTTATAAAATAAAAATAAATTAAAAAAGTTAAATAAAAAATATATATTAAAATCTATCCTACATCAACTCTCCCGTATGTAAAATTGCTTAATTTCATTTTTTGATTTTTGTTTTTTCCTCCTAACGGTTGAAAAAAAGTAACAATTATAATTGGGCAGGTGTGAGTCAACGTTTATTAAGACCGTTGTTGGAGTCATCGCAGATAAATTAAATCCTACAGGTTTAAGTGTTGAAGAGTATCAAGTTGGAATAGAGCATCCTGTTGAACAAGTGAGTAAGTTTCTAAGGTTGTGGTCAAATAGTAATGATGTTGGGATTGTTGCCATATGGGGGATTGGTGGAATGGGTAAGACTACAATTGCTAAAGCAGTGTATAATCGCATACATCGTAAGTTTGAAAGCAGTAGCTTTCTTGCAAATGTTGGGCGAACTTCTAGGGATACCAACGGTGTTGTTAAATTACAAAAACAGCTTCTTTCCGATCTCCTAAAGGATGAAAATGTGAAAATAAGATGCGAGTATCGTGGAATTGAGGTGATAAAAAGCCGAGCATGGGGTCGAAGGGGTCGAAGGGTTCTTCTTGTTCTTGATGATGTGGATAACGACAACCAATTGAGTGCATTGGCCATAGATCGAGATTTGTTATGTCCTGGAAGTAGAATCATAGTAACAACAAGAGATTTATCTTCATTAAGTCCGCTTCGATTGGACAAGGTGAATGAGGTGTATAAGCTGGATGTGTTGGAAGAGCATGAATCTCTTCAACTCTTCAGTTGGCATGCCTTTGGAAGAGACGGTCCTCTAGAAGGCTATAAGATCCTCTCTAAGGAAGTAGTGAGTTATGCGAAGGGACTTCCTTTACTTATTAAAAGTTTAGGTTCTTCTTTGAAGGGCAAAACGGTACCTAAATGGAAAAGTACATTGAAGAAGTTGGAAAAGATTCCGGATCTTAAAGTTCAAAAAATACTCCGTGTGAGCTACGACTCACTTGGTGACAAAGAGAAGTGTTTATTCCTAGATATCGCATGTTTTTTTGTTGGAATGGACCAAGATTTGGTGATCAAAATACTAGAAGGCTGCGGTTTCTACCCATATATTGACATTGACATTCTATCTGATCGTTGTCTTGTAAGCATTGATTGGCATAACCAACTGATGATGCATGATCTGATTCAAGACATGGCTAAAGAGATCATCCGCCAAGAATCCCCTGAAGAGCCTGGCAGACGTAGTAGATTATGGTATCATGAAGACATTCTCGATGTACTAAGATATGACACGGTAAGAGACCAATGCCTAAATTAATTACATATCTTGCCACTTTAAAAATGCCATAGCACACGACACATCATGAAAGTCTCACAATCTGGTATGTAACCCTATTTTCAACTCAATGTCACAACACACACCCACACACACACCTATATACTTATATATACAGTTGTTATTGTCATTAGGGGACAGAAAATGTTCTGGGCTTAGTCCTGAACTTGCCAGAATCAAAGGAGCTACAAGTAAATGCGGAGGCATTTACAAAGATGAAGAGCCTGAGATTGCTTCATCTCAATTACGTCCAAGTAAGTGGAAGCTACAAATATCTCTCTAAAAGACTTGTATGGTTGTCTTGGAAAGGATTTTCTTTAGAATGTATACCACCAACCTTAATTATGGAAAATCTGGTTGCCATTGACTTGAGCTATAGCAAACTCAAACAAGTTTGGAGAGGAACAAAGGTATGATGATTGATACTACTATTTTTTTAATCATCTGCTTCACACTACTTAAATTATACAATGACATGCTAGAAAATTTATTGTCTCTTTCTGTTCCTAATAGGTTTTGGACAAATTGAAATACCTCAATCTCAGTCATTCCCATCTCTTGATTAAAACTCCGGACTTCACGGGGCTCACCAGTCTTGAGAAATTATTGCTTAATGATTGTAAAAAGCTGGTAGAGGTTCACCACACTATTGGACGTCTCAAAGATCTTATTGTCTTGGATATGAAGAATTGCAAGAATCTGAAGAAGATTCCCTTGAGCATTTTCATGTTGAAGTCTCTCGTTGATTTCAATATGTCCGGCTGCTCCAAATTAGAGTGGCCAGCATTTTTTCAAGAATCGCCACCTAAATCAAGCTTTTCATCATTACAGTTATCAAGTAGCATCAGGGAATTATCTATGGAAAACTGCAATATAACAAATGTGCCCAGTGAAACTGGTAGTTTGGTGTCCTTGGAATATTTGAATCTTAGCAGAAACAAATTTTCTAACCTACCAGCTACCATCACTAGCCTTCCACTACTGGAGTATCTCTCTGTAAACAAATGTACTCTGCTTGAATCACTTCCAGCGCTTCCAGTAAATTTAGTGGAATTGTGGGCAAACGACAGCACGTCATTGCAGAACATGTCAATTATTGACTCAAAAGCAGCACACAAACAATTCAAGACTTTTAACCGTTGTCCCAAATTAGTCAACAACAATGCTGCATATAATTTTAGAAGAAATGTTCTTAGATATCAGGTACAAATACAATACTCTCTCCCTCTCTCTCTAATGTGTGTAGTACTAGAAGAAACCAATAACTCAGTTCGTGGGTCTAATGTAGGGACATCGAGAAGAAGAGTTGCATATTTCTTTTCCTGGGGGTGAGGTGCCGAGGTGGTGCAACTACCAGAGTAATGGATACTTTATACGTTTTCGAATGCCTCAGCTCGTGGGTCGGATAATACAAGGGATTATTGTCTGTTTTGTTTTTTCTCGCCAGAAGTGCTACTCCAATTCATATTTTAGATACGCTAGTTATTGCATTTCTAATAAAACCAGGTTGTCTGGGGGACCACATAGTGATGAAGTACATGTAATTTTGAGGGCAGATGAATTTGGACAAATGTGCCTCTCCTACATACCAATCCGGCACCTTAAACATTGTTGGTTGGATGCTGGAGATGAAGTGGAAATTACAATCAGACAAGTGGTTGGAGAAGATTTGCGGGTGAAGAGGTTAGGGGTTAGTCTGATTTACGAGGGCGATGAGGAGAATGAAGAATTTATAACACTTCCTACGGGGGTGACGTAGACAAGCAGAATGAAGAATTTATAACACTTCCTACGGGGGTGCAACTTCGGAACGCCCAACCCAAGCCCAATTACAATTGGATTATTGGGAGATTTTTTTTTTTTTTTGTTTTTTCGTTTATTTATTTATTTATTTTTAGAACATAGATGACCCATTTGAAGGCTTCTAGAGTGAAAGGTTGTGAGAAAGTGTGTACTTTGATAAAAAGAAAGAAGATTTTTTTTTTTTTTTTTTTTAATGGAATGAGAATTATATGTATCAAGACTCGAGTTTAGTGATCTGACTTTCCTAAAATTACATTGTTGTGATGGATCCTACAAATAGTCAGCCGATTCTGAGAAGACACGGGAAGTGTCTTCTGTTAATAATATGGAAATCCATAACCATAAAAATTAATAACTCACTCTAAAAACATGAGAAAATGGCTCCAGAGTACTAATGAAGCAACCACTTATTTCTGCAGTATGTGGAAGACAACTTTTTACATTCCTCAAAATTATTTTAAATGTCGATAACTTCTATTTTCTTATTTTCTCTTTTGGTGTTGCAGAGTGCCTTACCAGACAAAAATTCTGTCCCTAAAGCCAAATTTCTGCAGTATGAAGTTTCTTATCTAACCTTAGTAATGTAAATTATATGTGAGATTTTTAAAGAACAAATAGTAAAAATATATGTTTGTAAGTCATCTTTACTCTTTTTAAACAGGTAGCTTTCGCAGCCTTTTATTAATGTTTATTGTAAATTTTGTTAAACCACAATTTGCAATAATACTAGTACTGAGATGTACTCAGAATCTGGACAGAGCGTAACAATAGAAAACACACACAAGGCTTAAAGGTGTACTCAGATGGCAATTCTGAAACAAATTACAGATATGATTAGACAAAGGCTACTCACGAGAAAGGTGAAGGATTCCGCTCAAGCCAAAAGAGTACAAATCGACTGGGATCTTCCTTCCGGGTTTATTCGTCCGCCACCGGAGCCGCCAGACTGATCTTCGGTGTAGTCCCCCATTTTCACCCACCGGATTGTGGTTGCCATATTTGCTCAACTGTGTTTGATCCCCAAGTACGATTAGGGCATGTTTAGTGTTTGTAAGCTTTACCTTTGGGTATGGGCTGGTTTGGTGCTCAAGGGTGGCTTGGGCTTTATTTTGGGGTTCCGGCCCATCTACACATTCAACCTATATACAATACTTTAATTTCCGGAAAAAAAAAAACCATTGTTTCCTTATAATACTTGGAATAAAAAATAAAAAAAAAATCATTAACACTTGGAATAAAATTACGTGTATAAGATCCTCAACAAATACTGTAACTGGGACAATTTGAATAACTTTTGAGAGAATAAGTATAAGGCAGGAACATGATTAGAGTAACTTTTATTTCACTTATGTCATTAAAAATTTGAATAGTTATTATTACTTTTTTTTCCTGAATAAATTTAAATAGTTATATGATACATATCATATGAAACTATAATTGATCCTCATTGTTCCAATCAATCTGCTTTGTAATCCCTATGATGCAACTAGCAATACTTCTAAACCAATAGGTTTTATATTTGAAAATAGCAACGCTTCATACAATTGCATCCACTTGAAAATTACAATTCAAATGATATAAAATTGATCCAAAACACGTACGAAAAATTGCAATAATTTAAAATTTTCACTGGATGATTGTGCACTAATTTGAAAATTACATTATGTACATTTTGCACTAATATGAAAATAACAAAACTATAAACTACTCCAACATTTAAATGAACCATGCATTGTGCATTAATATGTGAGTATTCGGAATTAACTGACTATAGTAGCACCGAGTACCAACATTGAACTGAATCATTCCAACAACATTGAAGAGTACCACCAATTGAGTAGCAAGCACACATCATCCAAAGAGCAAAATTTAACTCAACATTGAAGAGTTCCACCAATTGAGTAGCAAGCACACAGCAGCAATATCATGCAAATAGAATCAGAAATTAAATATACCAGAATTTCGTGTCATATGATCAAACTGTTTGAGCTTTGAAAATGGCAGCTTCTTGTAAGTACGATATGTTCATGTCATTCAGTGGTGTTGTTGGTAGTCGCAAGAAATTTATTCACACTATTATATAATATTATATAATCTATTAAAAAAAATTATTATTAACATTTGAATATTACAAATAATAAGTATCATTAGTATATAATACTAATTTCTATTTGGAATGAACAATGCCCATATGTAAACATAGCCGGAAAGAAGAAAAAAAAAAGGATGTTTTCCATTTTCTTCACAAAAATAAAAAACATTTTCAACTTTTGAAAAATAAAAACATATAGTTAATTAAAAATAAAAGATTATTTCATACTCCTACTTATTCGGACACTTACTCATAACTTTTGTAGCAAGTGTATGTGTGTATATACATATTACATAAGCATGCGTGGGATGTGAAATAGCTAGTAATTTCCTCGCTACAATAAAAGATGAAAAAGCAGATTGAGAAATTTGTTTGTGACTTTGAACCTACCTTCAAAAGCAATATAATGAAATTTAATGGTAGATCCTCAAATTCTAAAGATGATTGACACTTCCGGGAATTGAGGGTGTTTAAAGTCTCAATCCATATGGCAATTGGGAAGAAAGAAACGAAAGGTGATAAAGTTTTATCAGTTTCTTGTGATTGACTTCTTTTTAACACATTGCCTAGGTTCGATGTTTAAGCAATTTCCTACATAACAGCTTTATAAAAGTAAAAAGCAGTCTACAAAGTTTTAAAATTCTCACTGTTAATAGTCACTGCCACAAGGGACGACACGTGTCCCTATTGAATAATAACACTAATAATCACCGCCACAAGGGATGTCACGTGTCCCTACTAAATAATAATATTATCTGGCTAGTCAGCACTGAATGGGCCATACTGAGTTCCACCTGACTTTACTCTAGAAGCCATAAGAACCTCGAACTATTAGGGAATGTGAGCACCTGGGCTCATAAGAGGAGGGGGTCGCTACTCCTCACTCTCCTAGTTTGGTGGCGCCCCGCTCTAGTCGGATAGGCCCTGCCCAAACTCAAAGGCCCCTCGTTTCCCGCACTACTCGAGATAGGGGCCCTAGGTTCTACTGGTTGTTCTCCCTGAGCCGCCCGCTGTGTGAAGCTCGAGGAGCTGGGAAGTTGGGGGTATTGGGATTTATATGCCTTGGCATAGCAAATTCTTATTTGGATTATAGTGACATATGTTCCTGACATTTCTGAAATATTTGTGATTTATATAATTGGTGAATTCAATGTATTATGTTTCGATTTACTATGGAATTGATAGTGTCAATTTGATTACAAGAGATATTTATATATATGTATGTGATGGCGATCAGTACATGAATATAAATAGTAATCATAAATAGTTCATAGTCGGTAATTATGGATGGACTCATAATTAATTAAGACTTGAACAGGATCCGTGTTAGGTTGAGATATATTGTGAGAGCCGTCGTATGCAATTACTCCCTATCACTGTCATGACATTTGACTCTTAAGCATGAGAAAAGTATAAACTCATTTATTAATTAATAATTACTTTGATTTGTTCGGCGGATACTTCGGGATCCTTAGATCGACACTTTGGGTAGTTATGTAATTAATAGTTATAGGGTTATATTTTCTGTGATACCCCCAGATTTCCGAATACGGGTTGGCCAGGCCCACGCCCGAATACCCGAATATATCAAAATAAATTGATAATAAACGAACACAGAGTACAAAAGAATAAAGAAGAATAAATAAAATGCTGACAAGAAACTAAAATGATAATCTAATAATAAACCTCAGAATATATTTCCATTAATTACTAAACTCTTCTGATACAACTGATCCTCCAAAATACAACTCGGGAATCCATACTGTGTGGACCCCTAAAAAATCCAAACTAAACAAATGACAGCAATAACTGTCTAAATCAGGAAACTAAATCATAAAGGAACTCCTATGTAGCATCGGAAGAATGAAGTAGACTGATCCTCGCTCAGCACGAACAACCTCTACTCCTGACGAACACCTGAAAAATAATGGTGGGTCAGGCCCACAAACAAGTTCTACTCTACTACAGTCCAAGCAGAGATCCGACACACGTATACATCCTAGTCAATCCAACAGTAACTAGTAGTCCGTATATATATATATACATGCTAAAGGAACCTCACTAGACTATAGGGTTGTCTCAACCTGAATAGTAGGCAACATGCAAAACGCACATATAGTGGGCATGAGTACCTAGATCTACCAGGGTACACAACTACACTATATCTAGTTACACATCCATGGCGATATACGCGCCCTAACCACTGATCCTGAGACTCAAGCTCATATCATGGCACCATACTTATATATATATATAATCTAGTAACCATCCTATCCAGTATAAATTAATCCTCCATAAGTCATTTAACTTGTTCAGCTGACCTGACTTGAATATAAGTAGGACTTAATATTTTAGTTAATCTATTCCCTTATATAATAAATTAATCCTCCATAAGTCATTCAACTTGTTCAGCTGACCTGACTTGAATATAAGTAGGACTTAACATTTTAGTTAATCCATTCCCTTATATAAAATAGATATGACTTAACTGATAAGTTAATCAATTCCTAGAATGCCACCGTTACCGGTGCATTAAATCACACAATCCAACAATTGATGTAACGATTAAGGAAATACATCAAATAATCCAGAAATAACTATGATAATATGATATCAAGTTATCACAAAATAGGAATGACTTATTATTTATTTAAGCTTGCTATATCATATGTCCCACACAAACTGAATTTTATACATGATGATATTTTATTATACCATCAAATAAGCATTCTCCATATTCAATTCATCCTACACATTTAATCTTAATTGCTAAAATATTTTAAAAGATTAAATCCATTCGTTTGTTTAAAACATTCAAATAGCAAACATCATTATGATTGAATCTATTTAAATTTATTTAAACC